AGGTTGAGTTATGTGGAAATGTGTCTAAAACGATACACAGGGCAGAGAGAATATTTCAATTGGATGTACTGGTGCGGCTATAAACACACAGCAACAGGGCAACAGAATGTTTCACTCAGTGTATATCTTCAATAAGGAATTGGAACAGTGTGGAAAACAACCTAATTTGATTAGGGGTAGGGAGAATGGTTATGTGTTTTTATATGTGCACAAACCTTAGAAGACAGGAGACATCTACAGCCGTGGTTACTTTGAAGCTTAAAATTCTGAATGAAATCATTTAGATTTAAGATTTCAGGTCAGTTGTTTACATAGGATGTGATCTAATACGGTCTGGTGTATATATACACAGAGGCATTTAATCAAACAGCAGTGTGACGCACGTAAAAGTTATGAATATGTCATGCATTGAGCACCAACCCATTCAGTAATAACTCTTTAACACGTGTTCTATGTAATTTATCATAATTTGTTCAACACTTCAGTTTATCCTAATCCTAACCCTAAACCTAATCCAACTAGCCAGCATTTTATGGAAGTGGAGAAAAGTATGTCCCCACGCAGACAGAGGGCATGCACAGAACACAGCCAGGAAGGATGGTACAATTTTTCTTTTGATACATTTATTAAAAGGTTTAAACTACCCCTCTGCAACTGGTTTGGGCCTGTTTATTCTGATTGAGGTGTTGATATGGAGCATTGTTGTTATGTTTGGGCTTTTAATCAATTACAATCATGTTAACATAACTAATGTTATTGTTATTTAGTTTGGAGAAATATAAAGTTTTTGGGTGCCACTTTCCAGTAACCCTCACATTTTACAGAGGTGTAAAGTGTTTATAAGTTGTAACTAACATATGCTTTAATGGTTATTAACTCAAATGAATGCTTTGGAGGTCAGTTCCCTCTTTGGACACATAGTAACACAAAGAGGGAAACTTTATACTAAATAAACTATAACTTTTGAAGATATCTGCTTTATCATATTAGCTTCATAACAATTTAGAATGCATTTTTACTCCCATCACTTACACAGGAGGCACATTACAGATGAATCTCCAGTGTGAACAGGAGGAAAGATTACAGCAAGCAAAAACTGTTCCAAAGCTCAACCATCCTTTAGTACAAAACTATTTCAGGGTTGTCAGGTTGTGGCTGCTGTTTATCCTCCACTGAATCACTTGCTTTGTCTTTTTGGCTCCGTACTCCATCGGGACAAGCTCTGCAATGGACTGTTTGACCTCTGACCTGAAAAAGGTTGTCCAATCCTGATGTCCTGATGAGAAGCCCGTTCCAGGACAGCAAACTGTCCTGACCTGACTATTAATGACCCACCGGCAGGAGAGGTTCTCTCACCACCTGCCAACCCAAAAGTTGTTCTTATTGATACATTATAATGCCCTATAAAGCATTATTATTATTATTATTATTATTATTATTATTATTAAACAGCTCATATAAGCTTTAAAATGGGTGTCAAAAGTGGCATTGATTTTTCGTCTCCGTGCTGGTGTTTTGTGTCAGAGGTGTAGCTACAATGAAGTGATCGCAAAAATAAATATCAAAATGGAATTAAATGCAAGAATTTAACAAAAGATGTTTAATGTTTTACTTGTGTCTGTGTTTTTACCATCTGCCTCTATTGTGACAGCAAAAATGAAAGCATCGATTTATTTACTGATCATCCCACATCTCAGCCTGATTAGAAACTACATACTAATTGTATACTAAAAGTACTACATACAGTACTCATTTTCATAGTGTTCTGCTGTGAGGTACAAGAAGTCAACATATTTTTCTGTTTCATACCAAAAGAAAATGAGGGAACAGGATCTTCAGGATGGCACCACCATTCTTTTTTATATTTTGGGGGCTTTTATTTGATAGGACAGGTGAAGACAGACAGGAAGAGAGAGCGAGAGGGGACTACATGCAGCAAAGGGCCACGGGTTGTAATAGAACCTGGTCTGCTGTGGCTACCGGGCGCCACAGGCCCCACCAGTTCAGTACAAACGTTTTTATCTGCTGTGAGTAGCCTTTCCATTTCACTTTTGCATTGCATTGTGGGTCAGTAGTGCTCATCAACAATACAGTTCAGTTTTAGTGTACATACTGAACAGAATTAGTACACAGAATGGATTTAGGATACAGCTATTTAAGTGTACAGATAAGTGAGGACCTCTTTGTGTGTGAACTGGGTTTTGTGTGTGTGAAGGCACAACATGGCCTCATCACTGAGCTAATAAGTGAGCAAGGAACTGTTGATCTTGCATATGAAACTCACCACCCAGCGTAAGAAAAACTTTAAGTATTCTGACCAAGCAGAGCGAGCAGCTCAATCCATCTATGTCACCGTTAATCGTTTGCTTTGTGCACACGCTCGCTGGCATGTGAGCAGCCAGCCTACAGACCTAAACGCACAAATCCAGTCGACACATTCTCTGAGATGTGATTATGCAAACGCAAACACACGGCATAAGCATCTATCACAACCTGAATTACCAAGGTTGTGGAGTCAGCTGTGTTTCCACAAACACATCCAATTAAAAGATGACATAACTTCCTCCCTTGACAAGTTTATTTCTTGACAACAATCCAACACAAAGAGTGTGTGTGTGATATTTAGATGATAGTTTTTAATGCACAGAATTGATTTTATAATAAATCATATTTAGGACCTAATATAAAGTGCGAAGTAAGAAGAAAATGTTTATTGTTCAGATTGCTGCAACCATCCAGAGAGACAACTCTCTGACATTGCTTATGTTGTGTAGCCTTCTCTGTTTTGTCAGGGGATATGAATAATGCAGGGAGGCTGCAAAAAAAAAAAGCACTATCAACCATTCCACTACTGTGACAAGAGCACCACGAGATAGGCTGCATTCATTTGGAACACCTCTTTTTTTTTTACCAAGGCTGGAAAATGACATTTTTATCAGCTTGTTTTCCTACTTGACTTTCCTTTTTTCCCCTCTTGAAAATTGAAAACTTGAGGGATAATGAAGCTACAAAGGAATCACATCAGAAGTTTGAACTGTAATTAGGCTGTGATTTCTGTTCTAGAAACGGTGTTTTGACTGATAACTTTATAAGGCGTTGAGGATGCGTGCTGTGTGACCGGAATGAGGAAAAGCACAGCCTAAAAAAATTAAGAAAACAGCACATCCCTGTTAGTGTCCATTGCATTAAGGAGTGTGTTTTTCCGGGGGAAAGCAGTGAGCCGTGTGAGCACATGGAGGGACTGACAAAAGAAAATCGTGAAAGCGGAAAGGTTCCCGGGCGAAAATAAGACACAAATCCACAAGAATGAAAACACCTAATTCAGAAGGTCGGGGGCTAAAAAGCTTCTCATTAAACACGGGGGGAGAATTTAAAAAAAAAGGAGTAAACATCTTTTGGACAATTCTTACCTTTAACGCCCGTATCCGTCACCACCGCCACCAGAACAAGCAGGAGAGGGAAATAATCTCTGATCGCATTCATCGCGTTTTGTACCCCGCTTTGCGCTTCTCGAGCTTTTCCTAGTGAACGTCCTTGGGATCAACACTTTTCCTCTGAGCGCTCCTCTCGTCACTTCAGCCCGGGTTCTCTGTCTGAATGCGCTCGCTGACAAGAGACGAGGGTTTCTTTAGTTTCGGTCCGCCACTACAGACTGTACTGACTGTGGGTACTGAGTCCACTGAGTGAAGGCTGAAGGCTGGAGACTGTAGAGCTGCTGCCGCCGCTGCCCCGCACCGTGCTCTGTGCTCTGTGCTGGGAGCCTCCTCTTCAGGGCAGCGCCGCCGCCGTGCTTTCAGCACCACGGACAGCTCCTAGCGTTGGCCAATGGAACACACGGAGAGCCAATGAAGCTCAAAGTTTGGGACGTACTAAACTGAAAACTGTAGAATTGCATCATAATTTGCTCTCAAGTACTAGAAGTGTATTTTCATTGACTCACATCGTTGAATATTCACGATTTGTTTTTCATATTTTTTCATGCAATCATCGATTTCCACTCATTTCACCAGCTATACTTTGAGTAAAAGAAATAAATCTACATTGTAAAATTGCAAGTAAAAGCCCCGCATTCAATACTGCACCTAAGTCGGAGTAACCTAAAAATACTTAAAGATCCTATACAGACATGTATTAAAGGTCCAGTGTGTAACCTTTAGGAGGATCTATTGTCAGAAATGGATTATAATATTCATAGCTATGT